GAGATGTCTGCATCCTACCAATGCATTATTTGTAAACACATAAACATTTCGATTACGGATTTACATTATCATCACATGCAACAACATAATTCAACAGAATTATCACAAACTATTATCAATCTTCAAGGCTTTAAAGTATTGAATGAAATAAAACGTGCAAAAAAGAAATATTTACAACCTATAGATCTAGGCAGTAATAATAACAATGAAAATTTATGTAATCATGTCTTTATTAAGCCAAAACTACAAAAGAATATATGCAAAACTAAACAAGAACCTAACTCATCAAGAAAATCTAATCATGACAAAACAATTTGTTTGTTAAATTGCAGTCAGTTTATTGCTTGGGAACGTGAATTCAATAAAAGGAAGGAGATAAATGATGAAGAATTTTTTGCCATTATTGAAAGCCTTTGCTATGATTTAAGTACAAGGTGTAAAGAAAGGAAACATAGAGGAAGAAAGAAAAAAGGAGGGATACTTACAGACGAAATAAACAGAAAAACTCTTATTCAAGGTGTTGAAATTGCAAACACAGAAATGGCAACTAAAGTTGTGGAACAACTAAACAGTGGACCTTCTCAAATTTCTACAACAACAACTTCATTTTGGGATACTGAACATTCAATTATTGATACTTCTGTTAATAATGAGGTCACTACAAGTAATGATACACTACAAGTACAAAATGAAGTAGAAGACTCTGAAAATAAAAATGTTTCAACAGATAATCTACTGTGCAATAATTTTTCTTGGGATTCTATCATTAACGTGAATTCTGATGACCAAAAAATGTTTGTTCAAGATGAAAATGTTTACTATGAATGACTGGAAAATTTTTTATAAATTGAACTCATTTTATGTTTCACTTGTATAAAAAGCAATGTAAAGACTGAATTAAGTACAAACAAAAATATTTAGGTTATTATCAATATTGACTAGTTTTTTTAAGTTACTCATTGCTTCCACAATTTAAGTTTATTTGGATTATAATTATAGATAAAAAGTTTTTATTTTCTTTTATGTTAACAGAAATAATTTTTTATATAAATGATCGCAGATAACAATACTAATTTTTTATGTTAAATACATAATTATCAATTTACTCTATTTTATTTCACCTACATAAAAAATAACGCACAAAAGTTTTGTTCTATATTTATTATACGAATCCTGGAAAAACTATAATGTAAGTTTTTCTATGTCAAATAAATGTATTTCTCATAAGATAATATTTTTATTAGAAAATTTAGCCCATAATCCTGTTTCAATAAAAACAGATGAAGTATGATTTATCATATAATATATTAGTTTTAGAAATAATATAGGGCAAAGAATTGCATACCATAATTGTACTCATGTAGAAGTAAGATTTAAGCGCTTGTATTATTATACAATTTATAAGGAATATTACTTATAATCAGTAACAGTCCATTGAATTCACATCTCCCCGCTTGTACACCGTTAATATATCATCCAAAACAGACTCAAAGCTGGTAGTGTACGTAGTCAACCATCGGCTTTTCTCTTCGATGTAAGCATTAATATCTGAATTAAAAATTGTTTGAAGGAAACTATGCCTCGTCACACAAGAAATATATTGCAAGGTTTTTTCCTCTGACTTTTTCATTTCACCATCCATTTTCATAGAATTTTTGTAAATAGAAACTAGCAAATTTGCGTCGTTAGCATCTACAATTTCTTCGATCACGTTACTGGAATTACTGAACACTTGTTCAGAATTGGAACTTGCAATACTATCCGGTAATTCGTATTTGACGTAAGAGGTATCTAATGTAGCACTGTCTTTGGGTAGAGGCAGCTGTGGTAAAGGTTCATTGAGTTTGTATTTCAAAAGGAATGTCTTTAGTTTATTTATTACAGCCGCCGATGTTTTGCATACTTCAAAATCACTGTCATCTTCCAGAGTAACTAAAAGGACCTGAAATATAATATAAAACGTAACTTATTGGTTAAGAAACGTATTGCATAAATTAACTTACCCCCAAACAATTTTGTTTTGCTAATTCATCCAGTGCTTTATTAAGTCTTCGTTTTATTTCAGTTTCATTAAGTGATACAATTTTCCTATGTTCCTTTGAAAATGTTACTTTTGGAAAGTGATCATCCAATACCCCCTGATCAGACAAATGTGATTTTATAAATTGCTTCCAGAATTCTAGAGCGCTTATTTTCACTTCCCAATGAAGGTCGAATACAGCAGCTGTTGCCATTGCTTGTGACATAGAATCGATAACGTTTCTCCTACAAAACAGTGCCATTAGTAACTTTGAAATGACAGAATGTAGTATTATGTGATTTTACTTACGGCCATTTACGATGGACGTATAACTCTTTTATTAAAATTACAGTTTCTTTTCTGACTATAGCCTCGCTTTCGTTATTAAAAAGATTGATCGCAATATCCTGAAATATAGAAAAATGCAAGTTTATATTCAAATATTGGCTCATCATTTCATACTTTTTAATTAAACATACAGGTAGATCAAACTGCGATAATTTTTTGTCCCATAATTTTTTTATCCGAACAGTAGTCGAAATAAAAGTTAAAGCAGATGCTCGAACATAGCTTTCATTGTCTGTTTTGGCAATTTTAACCGCTAGTTCCAGAAACTCGTTCGCCAATAAAAATTCTTGAAATGCTGGATATTCTGCAAATATTTATACATACTACATATCAAGACAACCCCTTACATAAACAATTACTTACTGTCTTCTGAAATTATAGCAATAGTATTCAAAACTTCCAGTACACTATCTCTTACTTCCCAGTTTATATCATGCAATCTTTTGAATAATGTTGGTCCTATTTCATTCATGTGACTATCTGTTTCAATCAGTAGTACTAAATTAGGTGGCATAAAATTTTGAATTGCTAGTTTACATACTTTTAAAGCTTTCACACAAATCTAAAACCATAATTTTATAACATATAATTTTTTAATCATTTCATAAATTATTATATGTTTATAACATACCATAGGTGTTGTTCCTGAATGATTTAAGATTTCTTGGGCCAATGATAACAAACATATAGTTTCTACACATTCTTGCCATTTTAATTTGAACTTCTCTGTCATGGCTGCCAAACCATTTAAAAGTGATGATAACAATGTAGGATGATCAACTATAGGATCTCCTTCCAATGGAGACTTGAATATTGATTTTTTTGATCCATTATCTAAATTTGTGGTATTATTTATGTTATTTGTAGTTCCATTGCATGTATCTGGCACACAATTTTTTAGTACATGACACAGTGTTTGAAATGTAATAACTGCAGTATCCTGATATGAAAATATATATAAAATTATTAGATACACTTGTAAATAATTTATTTGTAATATCTTTTTACATAGTTATAATAGATTTTTATTACACATACCCTATCCATGATATCCATTATTTCTAAGAGTATATCAATACATACTTTGGCAATGCGTGTTATTGGTAAATCATTTTTAAACATAACATCTCTTATATTGTATGCTAATCTTTGTACAGCTGTACATGTTACGTCAAACATTTTAGTAATATACATATCAAAAAGGTCATGATCTTTATATGTATGTTTAATACACATACACAATGGTATAACCTAATTATGCAAAATATACTTCAATTATTTACTGTCATCAAATATAAAATGAAAAATACTTGCCATTGGAGTTATAACTTGATGTTCAAATTTATGCTGATGAGTAAAAACAAATTCATGAAATGACTGTAGTTTCTTCCAATATATCATTAAAAATTTGTTTGTTTCTACTAATTCTATTACATATGTTTTCTTTAGAAGCATCATAGATATATAATTGAGATGGCTACAAAACTTTTGTGATATTTCAGCATCTATAATTTTCTTTCCTTCTCTGAGGTTTTTTTTTAGTGGAATAAAGAAACATATACACAGTAACTTATGTATATGTGACAAAATTTTTGTACTGATACATGCTTCAAAGAGAGCTTTTACTCTCATTTCTAAATCCAAGACTTCTTGACATAATTCAGGTATCATGTTATCCATATTTTCAAACAATGTATTCTCAATAATGTTGGTTAATAAATCTAGTGTGGCACACAACAATTTATTTTGATCTAAATATTTATCTTCCAGCACTTGGTATTTTTGAGACTCAAAATTATTAGTTATTAATGGTGCAGCTGCCATTAAAATTACTTCTTTACAAAAATTTATATTTTGTTGTTCATATAATAGTAAAAGCCACAAAAATTTGTGACTTTCACGGGTAACATACAGAGTATGATTCCACTGAGCATATTTTACAACATCCTTCCACACTCCTATAAAATATATGTTTTATTATTTTAATAACCAAACAGATGCAGATGAAAAATCATATGACTTACCAGAATCTATAATCCATTGCCTACCACTTCTATGTTTGATCAAGTCGGATAACATTGTGGTATAAGCCACTTTAACAGACACTGGTAAATCATCTTTACGCAATTTAAAAATCTCACACAGCTTATTATATACATCTTGAAATTGCCAATAATGAAAACGTAATTCATTACGTGAAACTATTCCCACAAGTTTTAAAGTAAATATAATTATAGGTTGTGAAGGAATACACTCAGATCCCCAAACATTTAATGCCTTTAGTACCCATTTTTGAAACAATTCACAAGACTCATAATCACTTGTGTTGCCTGAAATTAAATGGTAAAGTACATAATAAAGTATTAAACACATATAAATATGAGATAAATGACAATAAATGACCAAAGTAAAAACACAATCTCAATGTTACTGTATGTTATATGATACTTAAAATTTCTTACACTCTTTAATATTCTCAGAAATGTGGGATAATAGAAGATCAAGATAGGTAGTAGAGACGATGTTATAATTAGGTAATAGAAATAGTTCCAAAACTTCGGATAACCTTTTATCATTCTCTAACGATGTCATTATGTTCCCGTATTAACTTTTTTGTATTTGTGCGATATCGTGTGTTGTTTTTTATTTTTTTTTATACTCTTTCGCGCGTTGATAATTTTAGAATGCGCACATGATTTTATCATGCATTGCTTTGAACAGTGAGTATTATTCCTAATGCTCACATATTTTCCACGCTTTGTATCTCAAAAACCGAGCATGTAAATAAAAACTTCATTCTTTAAATGATATTTAGATAAGCAAGACTTGTAATAAATTGGAATTAAGTACCATTTTCAACAAAACTAAAAGGCTCTTATCTATTTTCATTCTTTCTGGCGGTTGTTTCAAATTACTAACATTTATAATGTATCTCTAATTTACCAAAGAAAAGCTACATCATTGCATGGTAAGTAGAAAAATTTGTGAAAATCTGGATAGAATCAAAGATACATTTACTTTTCTAATATTAAAATTATCTTCGTTTATTTTGTAACTATTAATTAAAACTGAGACGTCCATCCTAGTTATATTCATTTTTACTTCGCGTAAAGATCACACAACGTAACAAGACAATAAAAGAAAAGGACTTGTACTAAAATTATATGTAACAATTTATTTAACATTTACCATTATTACTAATATAGTTATACCTTGTCTGTACTGTTATATTTTCCCCATATTAACCAATATAAAAAATAAATTTTTCTTTCAGTACCATAAAATTATTCTATTCTAAATGATTCATTAAAAGATTGCTGCACAAATTTATGTTTTAGATATTGTGTGCATTAACGTGCGTATGTAGGAAGCGCTGAAGTTGGGAACCTTTAATGTTGAAGTTGTTATGTTCAACTTATTATTTTAGTGACAGAGGCTTTTATTCAGGAGCAACGTTTATTTATCGTTACTTTATCATGTTCGTTCAATGAACTCGAATTTGTTACTCTATCTATCATAACTAAAAGAGAGATGATACTTTCATATTAACGGTGATAACAGTCTACAAATTTTTCACTAATTATACTCTAATAACAAAGGTATTTAATTATACTTTATAAAATTATCACGAAAATATTATTCACGTATAAATTCATATCTCAAAATCGCAATAGGTTTTGTTTGAAAAACTGTTCATTTGATTGTGTGATATTTGAAAGTTTTATTTTTGTTTATTTTAGAAATTTTTAATTTATTTCACTTTCTTTTACAAAGAATAAAACAATGTGTATTCGACTAATTGTTGTATTATCATATTAACTATGTTGTAATAATAAAAATATCTGTTCACCATTTGTTTGACGTTTATATACAAATTTTATCTCCGTGCAGCGAACCATAAATCATTTATCCCTCATTCGTAAATGTACTTTGAATTTTCAAGTAATCATTGCATTATGCAATTTAAAAGTCTTTCTTTCCCATCATGATATTGCTACATATTTATTGTGAAATATTAGTGTCTTTTAACTAATCGAAAAATATATGGTTCCTATTATATGTGATTATTTTCAATTATATTATTGCATTAAAGTTAATCCTCATTGTATTCTACTTAAAATATTAGATATTTAGGAAACATTTATACATTCCATGATTAGATTAATGAAGGAGTGATTATCAAGAATAAACTGTCAGATTCCTTTGTTATCTGAAATCACATTATACATTGCTTCATTTTTGCTGTATTAGTCATTTTCAGTAGAAGTCCAACAGCATAAATAGCATTAACAT